AATATTTTATGTAATCTTAATAATAACTTGTGTGCCATAGCCATGGCACAACCAAGATTTATTAGAAAAGATTTGTAATTTGATTAGTTGGAAGATGAACCAGAGGCTAACCAAAAGATGAGATAAGACACTACTGCAACAAAATCTTTTGATTTAATGAGCTCCCCCCAAATAAATAGCAGGGATGCAGGGGATATGGAAGAAAACCCATCAATCAAATCCCCTTTGTGAGAAAGAAAATCGTCTCCAAGATCATCCATCATCACCTCTTATTTATTCTCACCTTTCTTTTTCCACAAAAATTTTCAACTCTGTAACTTTCTATTCTCCCCTAACAGGTTCCTATTAAGGATTTGGACTAGAATGAAACAGTAGTTCTTGTTCTCTCAAAAGTGTAAAAGGAATCAAACTCTCTGAAGTCTGATCTGATCCATGGAGATTTAATAGCAAAATGTAATCTACAGCTGCAGTATACAAATTCCATCAGTCACTTCAAACCCCCATAAAAAGAAATCTCGGGGCGTAACGGGGAATATTTTTTAACGACTCCACAATCCAAACAAATACAATCGTACGGCTAGCATTCGACAATTACAGATACTACCATAATTAATACTCCGAGATACGAGACAGAGAGTTTTTTGGCCTTGGAGTGACGTGGTGGTGACGGTGGCTGAAGACGGCGCCGTCGGTATCTGGAGGAAAGTGTGGTGTTTTGACAAGGTTTTAATCATTTCGCCAGATATGGCTGCACATGCAATCATTTGGATGGACTCTTCTTCAAATGCTTCCTTGTTTAGCCTTCTCTACCTCTATAAATTGGGGCTCTCCATCTAAACTCTGCCATTCTCTGCTTAATCTGTTCTTTTTGTTAAAGTTTCAGTGACTTACAGGCCAATGGCGTTTTTCACAGAAAAGGGTGCGAGTGCCTCCTTGGTATTGATCCTGTGTTTGGTGGTTTTTCATGAAGTTTCTGGTATCTTCTTTTCCTCCTTTTAAAAAATTTAAATGATTTGCTTATCTGGGTGTTTTGTTATCATTCATGCTTATGCTAAACATTACTCTGCTCTGCTGGTTTTTTTGGACAGACTGCACCTCAGGGAGTGGCTGCTTTTATGCTAATGCAGCTCATAGTCACAGCAGAAAGGTCTGGCATTTGGAAGTGCTTTTATATATTTGCTAAAAGCTATCTTGTTGTAACATAAAATAGTCTGTTTTTAATTAATGTGCATGTATATGCCTGCAGACACTGGCTGGTTTCAAGGAGAAGGAGGTGGCGCAGGGCTTTCTGCATAGATCAACAAGCACTGGAAACAGAGAAAATTTGGTGGGTTGGGAGTTAAGAACAGTTCCTTCAGGTCCAGACCCATTGCACCACAATGGAGGCAGTCCAAAGAAGCCAAGGACTCCTTGAATATCTCATTACAGAAACAAAAGTTGGCTGTTTTAATTAGCGTTTTGTTTTGTTGGGACTAACAATAGAAACCTCAACTTTAGAATATTGCAACTTTTTGTCTTACCGAGAAAGGAAAGAAAGTTTCATAGTCTACCTAGGAGACTTTTGTTGTTGCTTTAATTTAAATTTCTGTTGGGTATGGGTTGCCTTTTTCTTTGTAACTTTGATGTCTAAAATGCAAATATGAAGTGTTCGGCAACGTTTCTGTGTTGAATTTTCTACTCCAATTATGGCATTCAAGATGAGTTCTTGCATTAAAAAAAAAAAGAAAAAAAAAAGGGGCCAAGCTCAAGGAGAAACTAACTAAAGCTGTTGGGTTTGGATATTTACAGTAACAATAATGGCAGTAATTACATGGAAAACAAATGACATCATCAGGAGATATGGATATGAGAGATGTGATGGTGGGTGGCGCGGCAGTGTCACAGTTCGGTATGACCATTTGTAGTCAAAGTCATACGCACTAGTATCTCAATACCTGACAAGCTGTGGATTTAATGAGTATCTAAGTAATGGTAGGTGGATGCCAGCTGATTTACATGTATGTACTGCAATAACAAACCTCTCGAGCTTCATTTCGAAGTCTATTTCAAGTTTGACTATGACATGGATTAAACAATCATGACGCCTAAAGCCCTGAATTATGACACTGCTAGTGACATAATACCTGTCATGTCAAAAACAGAGCAGACGAGAAAAATACCGAGTATAACAGCCAACTAAGGGCTAAGAATGTATCCCTTCGTCACTCCAACTAGTTAAACCAAACATCTCTTGTATGGGAAGGATGCAAGTTATCAAACATAGTGTTGGGGTTTCACGCACGATGCATGGAATCAAGAAGTGAAATGAATTTTTATATTATAACTCATAAGTTTCAATCATTTTCATGTAAGTCCCTTATAATAGTTTCAGGTACATACCCAGATAACTTCAAATCAAAAGACAGCAGCTCTAGCATTGCGTAAATGCGATCTGTTTCACTATGAGATTTATCTCCGGCTACAAACTCGTGAGTGTCAGAGGCAATCTCAATTGAACTAAACCCTGGCCTTTTTTGTATCCCAAGGTCTTTCATTTGCCTCCTTACCATGCTTGCTCCATCCCACCTTCCAGCTGCAGCATATATATTTGAAATAAGCACAAAATTGGAATCACTGTTAGTGTCCAAAGCAACTAGATGCTTTAGCACACTCTCGGCCAAGTTAACATCCCCATGAGTCTTACATGCAACCAGCAATGATCCCAACACAACTTCATTGGGCTTCATGGGCATATTCTCTATAACATGTAATGCATCTTCTAACTTCCCAGAGCGGCTATAAAGATCCACCAGGCAACCATAATGTTCAATCCTAGGAGAGATTTTGTAAATGCTTGTCATGATATCAAAATACCCGAGCCCTTCATCCACCAAACCAGCATGGCTACATGCAGTGAGTGCCCCGGTGAAGCTAACTCCATCCGGCCTAATGCCCTCTTTTTGCATCAGATTGAAATATTCCAGAGCCTTTTCCGCTAATCCATTAACAGCAAATCCAATAATGATAGAATTCCATGAAACCAATGTTCGCTTAGGCATTTTCTCAAAAACTTGACAAGCAAATTCAATGCATCCACATCGCGAATACATATCAATCAGTGTATTATTAACTCTAACATTGTCCCTTAAATTCTGCTGTGAAACTAAACGATGCAGCCATAAGCCCGTGCCAAGCGTTCCCAAGTTGACACATGCCATAAGAGCAGCTATAACAACAACATAATCAGGCTGTATTCCAGATGTTTGCATTTCTCGAAACCAATCCAGGGCGTCCTCGCAATGACCTTTCTTAACAAAACCATTAATCAAGGCAGTCCAAGAAATCACGTTTCTCTCAGGCATTTCATCAAACAGCTCAATCGCATTTTCGTACTCCCCGTTTCTCATATACCCATCAATCATTGTATTCCAAGAAACTACATTCTTTAACTTCATATTATCAAAGACCAACCTTGCCAGTTCTACACATCCGCATTTCGCATACATTTCCACTAGCACAGTACCCACCATCACATTAGTTCCATCCAACCCTAATTTGCAAACATACCCATGAATCAGAGGACCCAAAACTCCAACTTTTGATGGAAAATCAGCACATCCTGAAAGAATTGTCACGAGAGTGATGTGATTTGGCTCGACACCCGCCATCCTCATGCAGGTAAACTCCTTCGCCGCTTCAGCTAATTGGCCGGCACGACAGCGCCTGGATATAGAAGACGTCCATGAGACTGCGGGGTCAATGGGTTTAAGGTTGATTTCATGATTTGCTGTGTTAGGAAACGAGGGTTGGTTCCTATGGTTTTGATGGGAGATCAGATATTGAGTTTCGAGTGGAGAAAATGCCGTGATGGCGGGAACAATACTCATTTGTTCAAAATGGCAGTTATGACAGTGTGAGTTGGTTAGGACTGTAGCGGGAGGGATTTCTAATTAGGACACTAATTAAAAGATTTTTCATTTTCTCTCCCTCTCTCTCTTTTTATTTTTTATTTTTTTAACTTTCAATTTGACCCTCAACTATTTTATAAATCTTTAATTTGATTCTAAAATTAAAAAAATTATTAATTTAACCTAAAATTAGTTCATTTGTTAAAAAATAACTTATTGAATTAGAGGATTAACTTCTTCTTTTTTTTAAAAAAAAAAAAGGAAGGGGTAACAAGGATATTTCAATCTTTTGAAAATTTTTTCTTCATTTATTTTTCTCGATGGTTCATTTTCGTGGATGGAAAAGGTTTGGTAAAATTATCAGCAACAGCAATAAATTCACTTTGACATTGTGGACGATGAGTATTGCATACTGTAACCCATGACAGGGATGTTTCGAGCATAAAAAGATAGAGATTTCAAGTAAGAAATTAATTTAAATTTTAAAACAAATAAAAATTTTTTAAAATACATTTTTAGAGTTATTTTATTTATTTATTTTATTTTATTTTAAAATAATTATTTTTTATTTTAAATTTATTTTAAATTTTACTTGTTATTTTTTAATTTTTTAAAGTAGATAAATATTTTTTCTTAATTTAACTATGTTATTATTCATTTAATTTAATTAATTACGTTACCACAAAAAAATATGATTTTATCTTTTAGTTTTTTTCTAAGAGTAATATAAATAAATAAAAAAAGATCCACTTACATACAAGACTTATACATGTGTTTACATAAAATCTTAATAATTTATCTTTTCACTTTCAATAATTAAAATTTATCATAACTTTTTAGATAAAATAAATAATTATTTTTAATAAATAAAAAAATTTCAATTATTAAAAATAAAAAAATAAATAATTTAAATTTTATGTAAATATGATGTGTAATATTTATTTGTAAATAAATTTTTACTTTAAATAAATATATAAATTATCTCTAAATCTTTAATTAAGTAAAAAGATAAAAAATTATAATTATTTTAAGAAAAAAAATTATATAATTCATTATTTTCGGTTAAAAAAAAAA